AAAAAAAAAAAAAAAAAAAAAAAAAAAGTGATAATTACGTAGGACGGGGGAAACTGACGTAGGTTCTGTGACACAAACGTGTTAATTCTTGAAGGAAAAAAAAAGATTAATTTTAGAGCCGGAGAGATAGTTTAGCAGTTAAGGAGACCCGAGTTAGGTTCGCACCCCTGCACTCATAAGCACCTTTAACTCTACCTCCAGGGGATCCAATGCCTCTGGACTCTACAAGATCTGCACTCATATATACGTAAGCACCCACAAACACATACACATAATTTAAAAATAAGTAATAAATATTTTAAATGATTTATCTTTACACACACATGCACATATAATACATAATAATATAAAGCTTTTAAAATGATTTGGTTTGCTTTTACTTACATGCACGTGTGTAAAATGTGTATGTGTGATGAAGAAAAGAGTGTCCGTGTGGCAGGAGTTACACGCTGTTGTGAGCTACCTGACATGGATGCTGGGAACCCTGACTGGGTTCCTTTGTAAGAGCAGCAAGTACTCTAAACCACTGAGCTCTCTCTCCAGCCCCTCTGTTTACTTTGTATTTTATTTTGTTGTTGTTGTTGCATTTTGTTTTGTTTTGTTTTGTGAGGGGCTTTTTCGAGACAGGGTTTCTCTGTGTATTCCTGGCTGTCCTGGAACTCACTCTGTAGACCAGGCTGGCCTGGAACTCGCAGAAATATGCCAGCCTCTGCCTCCAGTGTGCTGGGATTAAAGGCATGTGCTCGTACCACCAGCCTTTGCTTTTATTTCAAGACAAGGTTTTGCTCAGGTGGGGTGGGAACTCCCTGTGTAAGTCAGCACGCCTCACACTCTTCATCTTGCCGCTTCAGCCTCCTGGGCTGTGATGAAAGGACCGCTGCCACATCCCCTTGACTCGTGATTTCTGAACACAAAAACAGAGGGAAACTTTCATCGCACCAAATCAAGGAGGAGGTGACAAGGTTTCTGTTGGGGGTGATGAACAGGTTTTGAAAATCAGCAGTAAAAATATGGAGTACAAACTCTGAGTTATGAGATGAGCATGGCAGGCGAGTGGTGGATATGGGTTTTTGTTGTAGTAGTGGTGATGAGTGTGTGTGTGTGTGTGGTTTTTTAAATTAAGGTTAATTTTTAAAAAATTATATGTATGTCAGTGTGTCTGCACATGTTTGCTCTCACAGGTCAGAAGAAGGCACCAGAAACCCTGAAAACTGGAGTTACTGACAGTTGTGAGCCAACATGTGGGTGCTGGAAATTGAACCTGGGTCCTATGGAAGAGCAGCCAGTGCTCTAGCCATTGAGCAATCTCTCCAGCCTGGAAGTGTTGACTATGATGATCATTCCACAGTGTACCAAATCATCACTTTGTACATGTTATGGGTATACATACGAAAGGATAAAGAGTGGAATTATAGCTCAGTGGCAGAGTGCTATAAAGTGTGCACAAAGCCATCGGTTTAATCCCCAGCACAGGAAGATAAACAAAAACCCAGGATGAGAAGGAAGAGCATTTCATGAAATAAACAGCACTAAATGACACCGTGACAGGAAATCTGTCTGTAGGCCCCTGTTGCATACACCATTTGACCACAAGACCTTAGGTAACAGCTGCCCTGGGGTTTAGCCCTCAGCCTCTTCTGTGAAACGAAATGCCTGCTGCCCACCGAGGGACATTCTGAAGCTCAAGGCATCACTATCTGGAGCATGGTCTGCTGAGCACCCAGCCAGTGTTATTCACCTCCCCACCCCCAACACAGAGGCGGGAAGGCAAAAACCCGGCACAAAGTACCAGGTCACTATCATTTTTCCTTCTTAGGGTGGCTGCAAGTCCACCCTAAGTCTTTGCTAACTTTTAAACTAAAACCTCCAAAAATGAGGATGGGAAGAGAACCCCAAGGGGACTTTCAGTCTCGGACTTCTCTCTGAATTGACCACTGCTGTGATTCTTTCTGGGGCTTCCAGGGAGGGACAGTTAAGAAGTCCAGATGCTACAGGAGACTAAGAAAAGCTGGGACTCCAAACGGCCCAACTTTGCCGTGACGATGAGCAGAGGACAGATGTCCTTGGCTTGTGCCCTCTTTTCCCCCCACCCCTCTGTTCATACCTTACATCCTTGTCTTCCCCATCCTCCTCCTGGGAGACCTATTTCTGTCTCTCTCTCTTTTTTTTTTTTATCTAATGCAGCGGAAATGAATCATCTCTGGGTTTGTTTAGTAAATAGTTTCATGCCTGCTGACCCCAGCTGGTTCCTTTATGGATGCTCCTGGGCTAGCCACCCCCAACCCCAAAACATAGTCAAGAACCCTCAGGACTGGCTGTTTCTGGAATGTGCTTCTTCTCCAGGTCTGGTGGCTTGACCTCCTCCACCGTGGGAATGATGGGAAATGAAGCCTCGCCTTCCAGATGAGTCCCATCAGCTCACCAAGAGACAGGAGAAGCAAGGCAAGTGCTGGGTTCTGGGAGCTTTGTGTGCCGTCTCCGCATTCCTCAAAGTCCTCATCTCACACATGAGACCAAGGTTCAGAGAAGTCATGGAACAAGCTTCCTTCACAAGCAGCTAGGGAAGGATGGCGTCGGAGCCAACATTTGTATCTTGAATTTGTGGAATCCTAGTTCATTCCACTACATCATGCTGCCGTGTGTGTGTGTGTGTGTGTGTGTGTGTGTGTGTGTGTGTGTGTGTAATGTGGGTATGGGGAGGCCTCAGGTCCTTTGGAATAGAAATCCAACATCCCTGTGCACTAAGCATTATGTGTGTCGTGGATGAATGACAGAGTCCAGTGGGTTATGGGCGATGGCGTCAAAGAGAAAGGATGTAGTGATATAGGTTCAAACCCCCCCAAGCCCTGCTCACCTCACAGGGATGGAATTTCACAGGCTCCAACTCTGTCCAGGTTGCTCTACTTCCTGGTGAATCCAGTCATTGAAACTTTCAATTTCACAAAGTAGATAGAGGCTGTTTCCCAGAACGGAATATTCTGTTTCCCAGAATAGAATATTGGCCCTGAACTCTAGTGAGGCCACAGGGATCGAAATGAATACAGGTGTCTAAGCTACTGTAATGTGACGTGGATCACAGATGTGGTCAGGGCTACAGAGGAGAGATTTCCCTATTAAGGAATTGTAACGGGCCCAATGGAGTGCTGGAGACTGGGAATCATGGAGTGAGTTCTGAGGAGGGAGCATTTGTATCTAGCTGTCTCCAAACAGATGTTAAGACCTGCAGAACACTTTAACACACGTTAGAGCGTGTTCGTTTTTCCAAGGAGCCCTGAAGTGCAGACCCGTGCTTGTTGTGTACTTTTCCTGGAGAGACATGGAGAGTCTCTTCACCCTATGTAGGACACCAACGATAGACCAAAGAGATTGTACCCAAGTCTAGCTTGACAAACCAGTGCGTTTATTATTAAGGCTGCTTACAGGGGCAGAGTGACTCAAAAGAAACAGCATTGCCAAAGAGCAAGCCCAGCAGCAATGCCGGTTCACGGAAAAGCAAAGAAGGGTCTTCTCTTCTCAACCTTGTGAATCTCCTATTTCCTGATCTCCTTGAGTTTTATGACCTGCCCTCCTCCCCTCAGAGCGGAATGTTTGAGAAAATAGCTACACTGCTCTTATCTTTTTTTTTTAAAAAAACTAATTATTTATTTCATGTGTATTTGTGTTTTGCCTACATATATGTCTGTGTAAGGGTGTTGGATCCCCTGAAACTAGAGTTGCAGTTATGAGCTGCCCTGTGGGTGCTGGGAATCGAACCCCGGCCCACTAGCAGACCAGCCAGGGCTCTTAACCCCTGAGCCATCTCTCCAGCCCCTATGCTGCCCTTATAGGCCTCTTTTTCAGATGTGGAAACTGAGGCCTAGAAAGACCGAATAAACCATGGTCTCCCAGTTAGCAAGTCACCAGTCAGGATTACATCTGGTGCGCTCCTGTCCCTTCCCTCCGGTAGTGGAAATGGACTGCAGGCCTTGGGGAGCGTACATTGTCCAGGGGCGTGGTCGAGGACCTGGAGGCGGGGCATGCTGTCCCAGGGGCGGGGCCGGCGGCCTCACGGTCCTGAAGGCTGGGCCAGCTGAGTCCTTCTCCAGCCGCCCGGCAAAGGCAGGACCATGGGCGTCCCGGAGCGGGCAGAGCGAAGGCGGCGGGGCTGAGCCCCGCTGGGACCTCCGGTCCGGCCATGGGCGACCGCGAGCGCAACAAGAAGCGGCTGCTGGAGCTGCTGCAAGCTGCGGGCACCGGCAACACGCACTGCGCGGACTGCGGGGCTGCGGGTAAGGGTGCGGCGTGCGGGGCAGGTGCAGCCAGGCACGGCCCTGGCCCCTGGCCCGCCGGCCCCTTCCCTAGGAGTCCATCCATGCGTGACCCAGACTCGCTCCGCGCCTGGGACTCCAGTCCTTCTCGGTGGAGTGTCTCCGGCGGCCCCGACGGTCCTCCGATTCCCTGCTCCGGAAGCCAAGGGACCTCAGTCCTCGCTCCGCACCAGATGCGGTCCATGGCCTGGGTCTCTCTCACTTTCCCACCGGGCATCCTACAACCCAGGACACGGCCCCGGACATCATCTCCAATCCTGGGCCCTTCCCGCACCCTCGGACCCTGAGGTCCCCGCCTCCGATGCCTCCTGGGCGCCTGCGACCCTCACTGCGGCACGTTGACCCTGAGGATGCTGATGCGGCTCCCTGCCCTCAGCCTCCGAGTGGGTCCCTCACTCGCCCCCTCTTCTCGGTTCCTCCTTCCGAGGTCTCCTGGGTGTCGCTGTGCCGAAGGGTGGGCTCAGCACGGTTTATGGTGTTACCTCAGTTGTCCAAGGTTGGGGACCAAAAGAGAAAGGATTACCGGCGTGGGGAGAGCTGGCCTCCGACCCAGCCTGTCTCTGCACCCCACCCCAGTCCTGGTCCGCCTCAGCGAAGATCCTGCCCTTCCACCCCGCAGATCCTGATTGGGCCTCTTACAAGCTGGGGATTTTCATCTGTCTCCACTGCTCTGGCGTCCACCGCAACTTCCCAGACGTCAGCAAAGTTAAATCCGTGAGACTGGACTTCTGGGACGACAGTATGGTGGAGGTAGAACCGCGTTCGTATGCAGATTCTTGGAATTGGGCGTGGGGAGAGGAGGCGGGACGCAGGTGTTCCTCCTATTCCACTGAGGAGGAAATGGAGCCCAGAGAGGTGCAATGACTAATGAGAGGAAGCATAGACTAGTAGGTGGTGGCTTAGACGAGGGCCTGAGTTCAAATCCTAGCTAATCCTACAAGGGGCGATGTCCTAAGTAGTACCTTTAATATTGTGTGTGTGTGTGTGTGTGTGTGTGTGTGTGTGTGTGTGTGTGTGTGTGTGTGTGTTTAAAGATATGTGTGTACCTGAGTCTATGTATATGAACCACATGTATGCAGGAGTCCACAGAGATCAGAAGAAGGTATCAGATCCCCTGGAATTGGAGTTAAGCAGTTGTGAGCTGCCATATTGGCGCTTGGAATTGAATCCAGGTCTTCTGCAAGACCAATAAGTGTACTTAACTACTGAGCCATCTCTCTAGCCCTTGGGCTAGTTCCTTAGTCTTAGCTATGGATTCTACCTCCACACCCATGTTATGGTCATGAACCACCCTCTCATGTGGTGCTGTAAGAATAAAACCCAGCCAGGCGGTGGTGATGCATGCCTTTGATCCCAGCACTCCGGAGGCAGAGGCAGGCAGATCTCTGAGAGTTCTAGGCCAGCCTGGTCTACAGAGCAGAGTTCTATAGGACAGCCAAGGCTACACAGAGGAAACCCTGCCTGGAAAAAATAATAATAAAACACAGGTTCAGCACAGACACAAAGTGAATTAACGGTTGCTGTCAACATTCACGGGAGCCAGGAATTGAGGAAGAGAAACGTCCTGATTCATAGCCCAAGGTCCTTCACACCTCCCTAGCCCACTCTGCATGCCTGCTCAGTTGGTACAGAGGAGCCCTCAGGCAGAAAAACCTGAGGAGAGCAGACAGGTTTACATCTCACTGGTGAACTGAGAACTTCAAGGGCCACTGGGGAAGCAGGTGACATCGTTGAGCATCCCCATTCCATGGCAGGATCTGGACCGGACTTGAACTATTCAGCCCACACAGGTGTAACTGTAATATCCTTGGTGGGGAAGAGATCACTGACAAGACAGAGTGGCTATCTAGTCAAGGCTCACATTCTGTGTGGGGGAAACACAGGGATGCTGCTAGCCAGCTCACACACCCACAGGTTTTTGCCTTCTAAACCCCCTGTTATGTCTTCCTTGGGACAGGTGAGCTCCCCACAGAGTCACTCTTGCTCTGCTGGGGTCCACAGGCAATACATGTCTACGCCACAGCTCCAGAGCCCCCAGGGAGGCAGATAGTGTTCAGTGTATCCACAGAGGAATTTCAAACCCGCTCTTCCCGCTCTTCCCCCAGCATGTCACTGCCCACTGGCGCATCAGCCTGATCACTGGACACAATGTCCACTCTGAGTCTCAGGTGACATTGGGTGTTCTCTGGGGCTGGCAGCCACTTCCGTTCTCCAGCCGGTCCAGGCTGCTGTAGACTTTGAGGGCTGTGAGGGGGCTGTCGGTGGAAGAAGTAAGAGAAAGAACCTGAGCTTTGTGGTCCAGCAGAAATGGGCTGACATCATCACTTTGTATTAACTAGCTGAGCTGCCTTGAGCAAGCCACCTAACCTCTCTGAGCCCAGTGTCCTCTTTAAAAACAGAATAGCAGTGTTAAAATAGTGGAGAAGACCCAATAAACTCTTGTGCGAGAACTGTAAAGAGCTGTTCCTATCTGAGGCATGGTTATCAGTCCCCAAGATAGGACAAACTAGGTCTTTCCATGCCTAGGGAGATGCCTCCTTAGAGGTAGTTTCTCCTGGCCTTGCCTCAGAGCCAATGAAAACCACAGGCTTTTTATTTTTTTGAAACAGGGTCTCTCTACATAGCCCTAACTCTCCTGGAACTCACTGTGCAGAACAGGCTGACCTTGAACTCACAGAGATCCACCTGCCTCTGCTGGGATTAAAGGTGTGTGCGCGCAGGACTATGCCCAGCAACCACAGTTTTCTGGTTAGACCATGGTTTCATTTCACATATTTTTTTTTTCAAGTTCTACAATTATGCCGATTTGCTCTTGTCTTACAGTTCATGACCAGCAATGGGAATCTCAACGTGAAAGCCAAGTTTGAAGCCAGAGTCCCAGCTTTCTACTATGTCCCTCAGGCCAGCGACTGCCTGTAAGTGAGTGATTCCCTAGGGTCTGGGGAGAGGTCTTCCCAGCCCTTCTCTGTTCCTGGAACCTTTATCTGAGGTGAGTTCTCCTGTGACCTGGTTGGAAGGTTCTTTCAGGGATGAATTTGGTATCATCACAGAGGGGACATAGGAATCCAGGTGTGGTGGCAGAAGTCTGTAATTCTGGTGCATAGGAAGTAAATAGAGCCGGGCCGTGGTGGCGCACGCCCTTAATCCCAGCACTCGGGAGGCAGAGCCAGGCATATCTTTGTGAGTTCGAGGCCAGCCTGGTCTACAGAGTGAGATCCAGGAAAGGCACAAAGCTACACAGAGAAACCCTGTCTCAAAAACCCAAAAAAAAAAAAAAAGGAAGTAAACAGAGGGTATGATCAGGAATTCAAGGTCAGCCTCAGCTACATTGTGAGTTGGAGGCCAGCTTAGGCTATTTGAGACTATGCCTCAAACAAAACGAAAGCCATTAATATTTGTGGAGCTTTACCCATATGCCAAGCTCTAACTGTCGTGTGTGTTATTGTCAACATTCTCAGCAACCTTGCCAGCGTGACCGCTATTGTGTTTAAGAGACAGAACATGATGGGTGTGAAGGAACATAGAGCTGGGAAGGAACGGATCATCTGATACCAGGGGGTGATAGCAAGACATTAGGAAAGCCCAGTATAGCAGGAGGGTTGTAAATGTAAGGGACGAGGAAGATCACAGAACCTAGTGACCCCAAATCTCTGAAAGGCTGACTCCCTGATCCTGGGCCTCCCTCTCAGGGACTCAGCCTCCTCATTCAGGGCTGTCAGACAGTGTCCTGTGGACTCAGGAAAAGGGATCCCTCTGTGTAGACACAGTCTCATGCAGGCGTGTCTGGAAAGTCGTATTTGAACCCCCAGAGTCTCGGCGTAGTGCTTTGGGGCTTTGCACAAATGCATAGCTATAATTGGCGGTCCTGAAGTTTTGCAGTTAGTGACCCAACGGCTACTGATACCATGTGGAGAGGCAGGGAAGCAAAGCTTTGTGTGCAGAAGGCCTCGAGTTTTTCTCCCCCAACCCTATGGCTACCCAACTATAAGAAGGTGGCCAAGCCACCAAGCCCCTTGGATGTCCCTCTGCATGAAGTCCAAGTCCCTTTTCAAAAGCCCAGACAACAAAACCTGCCTTACAACATAATGTAGATCAAAGGACATCATTTGTTAAGCAGCTCCCATGCCACCTAGCGTGGTAGTTTTAATGCGTTTCTTAGTGTCAGACTTACAGTGATACCAGGTCCCTCACCCCTCTGAGGGTTGTGTTGGACACCACCTGAAAGACCCTGTCTCATCTTGCCCCCTTGCCCCCTTCCAGCCTCTGCTCCAAGCCCCTGGGCAGCATCTCTTCCATGGGCTTTCTACCCTGTCCTCTCCAGCATTGTTTATCATGGCTCCTACAAATGTCTTTGCATTTTAATCCCTGTTGATTGAGGGCTGGTGACTTGCTCTCCTCCAGTTCTATAACTATTGCATTTGCCACCTCTGGGACTCGAACTCAGTCTCTAGTCTCTCCCCTAGTGCTTATCCTATGGCCCAGGATTCCCACCACCATGTTGGGCCTGGTGCTGTCCTCACTGATCCACGGGGAAGGCTGTGCCTTAGGAAGGTCTTGGGGGTGTATACTGAGGGTCAAAACCATGACCTTGTGCGTATCAGGCCAGCACTCTACCTTCGAGCTACACCTCAAACCTAGAAAGAACTGTTGACTGGGGACAGAATTCCAACTTAAGCTGGCTCAGGCACCAAAAAGCTTTGGGGGTTCTGAAGATCAGACACCAGGAAGGACATGTATGAAGCCACCTTCAAGAAGGATCGTGCTGAACCAGGTACTGTAGTACACACCTGTAATCCTGGCATTAAGGAGGCTAGGGAGGCTGAGGCCAGCATAGTGTGAGTTTGAGACAAGCCTGGACTGCAGTGAGACACTGTTTCACCACCACCACAGCCAAGGCCTGCAAGATGGCCCAGTGGGTAAAGGCACCTGCCATTGAGCTCGAGAACCTGAGTTCCATTCCAGCGGTCTGCACAAAGGAAGGAAAGAAATGGTTCCCACAAGTTGTCCTCTGACGTCTACACCTGCACTGTGGAGTGCGCACTTACACACATACATGTGCACACTCAATAAATAAGTGTATTTTTCTTTAAAAAAAAAAAAGAGGGAAGAAGAGGGAGGAGGAAGAAGAAGAGGATCATAATACTGGGAGCTCAAACATGACCAAGGGAAAGGAGAAGGGGAGATGGAAGACGCACACAGGGACTCCAGCGTGACCCGGTCTTTCACACTCTCATGTCCCTTGTCCCTCATGTCACTTGTCCCCCCGTCTTTCTCTCAGCCAGACTTCTCCCGCAGCCGACAGCAAATCCACTTTCAGGTTCATGCTGCATTACCCAGCATAGCCCAGAGAGGACTTCCGGTCAGTCTCTTAACTTTTGGTCTCTTTGACCCCTGACAGTCCAGGGCAACCCAGAGAGTGCCAAGTGACCTGTTTAGGTCAGATGCACAGCTCCAGGTCACTCCCATTCCCAGGGCATTTGGTCAGCTAACCTTTGAAACATGTACCTGGAAAAGATAAAAAGGAGCAAACAATGAAAGTAAGTTTGTTCTCAGATACAGTTTTCCTGCAGAATACTATCTGGTTAACCTTAGCATGAAGAATCTGCTGTGGAGAGGAGAGAGATGGCTCAGTGGTTAAGAGCACAGACTGATGTTCCAGAGGAACCAAGTTCAATTCCCTGGCTGTTCGGTGTCCGATCACACCAGGATAAAATTAAAAAAAAAAAAAAAAGAATCTACTGTGCTCACGACTTTAATCCCAGCACTCAGGAGGCAGAAGCAGGCAGATCTCTGTGAGTTCATGGCCAGCCTGGGCTACACAGCAAGACCCTGTCAACAACAACAAACCCTGCTGTGTGTTGAGTATGGTGCTGGATTATTTACATACAACTGCCCGAGCCAGGCGGTGGTGACACATACCTTTGATCCCACCACTCGGGAGGCAGAGGCAGACAGATCTCTGTGAGTTTGAGGCCAGCCTGGTCTACAAAGTGAGTTCAAGGACAGGCTCCAAAGCTACACAGAGGAACCCTGCCTTGAAAAAAAAAAAAAGCCCACCTCAACAGCACTAGGGCAGGCAGGTATATTACTGGCTCATTTCCCAAGTTTAGAGATGTTCAGTAATTTGGTCTGGGGATATAGCACAGTTGGTAGAGTGCCTGCCTAGCATGTTTCAAGCCCTGGGTTTGATCCTCACTGCTGCATAAAGCTGGGTATGGTGGCACATACCTGTAATCCCAGTACTTGGGAGGTGGAAGCAGGAAGATCGTAAGTTCAAAGTCATTCTCAGTTACTTTAGACACCTGGGGTCAGCCTGGGATACCCTAGGTCAGTCTGCTCTATGCAGTGTGGTGGCCCAAAGTCAATCAGCAGGTCCAGGACATTTTTGGCTCAAGTTCACAAGCAGAGAGTTGGGGGTGGGAGTGTTGGGAGACAGGGTAAGTGTAGAGGGAGCGGGACTTTGATCATTGACTTAGAGGGCTGAGGGACAGTCCAGTGCCTCTCAGCCCACTAGAAGACAAATTTTCCTGGTGTGTCATCTGGAGAGCAGAAGCTCCTGGAATCTAGGAGGTAGAAGCCAGAGGTACTGCCACACACTCCATAAAGCGCCGGACAGCTCCCACCCCCACTACAGAGACTCATCCAGCACCGATGTTAACTATCCTAAGGCCGAGAATCTCTGGGTATCCTGAGAAGGCAGCTGCTGGGCTGTCCCCACGCTCCACTGTAGGGTCTTGGAAAGCCACTGTGGGAATGGAAGGCACTGCAGCAGACATGACTGACCGAAATTTCTCTTTTTAGGGTCTTAAAGGAGCAATGGATTCGAGCTAAGTATGAAAGACAGGAGTTTATAGCTCATGAGAAAGCTGTTTCACCCCCAGGTAAAGTTACTATGAGTTCTGCATGTAGGTATATGCACCACATGTATGTAATGCACCCAGAGGCCAGGACAGTGAACTGGAGACTCTGAGACTGGAGTTGTGACAGTTGTGAGCCATGTGGGTGCTGGGATTTGAACCTGGGACCTCTGGAAGAGTAGCCAATGCTCTCAACCACTGAGTCATCTCTGCAGCCCTAAAGTTACCATCTTAATGTTATGAGGTCTATGTTCTAATGAGCTCTAGAAAAATGGAAGGTGGAGGTAGGCTTGGTGAGGAGCTAGATTTCAGCCTCTCTTTCCACATTCATGCAGGGCACAAGCTCACTAGCAGCCCGAGACCCAGAACAGTGTTCATTCCACTGACTTGAATTCTCAAGCTGGCACTGCCCTGAGGACAAAAGTCTTCAAGGATCTTAGGGCAAAGCATGAAAGGACAAAGCTTTCAGGATTTCCAGGATGCAAATTATCCATTCCTCAAACTAGTGTCTTGAGGTCACTCTTATAACTCTAGTTTTCTTTTTCTGTGAGGCAGGGTTTCTCTGTGTAGCCCTGGCTGTTCTAGAACTCACTCTGTAGACCAGGCTGGCCTCAGACTCAGAGCTTCTCCTGCCTCTGCCTCCTGAGTGCTGGAATTAAAGGCATGCATCACCACCAAAGATCCTAAATTAAAAAACAAAAAAACAAAAAAACCAAAAGCCCTAAACAAAAAAGAAAAAAAATAACTTTATTTTTATGTGTGTGATTGTTTGGCCTGAACGTATGTATGTGCACCACATGCAATACTGGTGCCTTCAGAGGTCAGAAGAGAGAGTTTGATCCCCTGGGACTGGAGTTATGGATGGTTGTGAGCAGTCATGTGGGTGCCAGGACTTGGGTCCTCTGCAAGAGCAAGTGCTCTTAACTGCTGAGCCATCTCTCCAACATCTTTTCCTTTCTTTCTCATGACAAGGTCTTGCTATGTAGCCAAGACTGGCATCGAACTCATAACCACTTTCCTTCCCCAGCCGAAGTGCTAGGATTACAGGCCCCACCACACCTGTCTTCCAATGAAGCCGACCGACCTCAGGGAGAGTCAAGGCAGAAAGGTTTTGCACAGTAGTGGAGACTGAAATTATATAAGGTTGGCCCTAGATACGTAAGGAGAACCTCAATGGTGTGTGTGTGTCTGTGTGTCTGTGTCTCTGTGTGTGTGTGTCTGTGTGTGTATATTAAGGGATTCTATGGGGGAAAAAGACTCACTGATACAGGATAAGGTAAATCCAGTTGCAGAGTCCTTAGAAAGCTGGGGACCGTTCACACGTTACTTCACGCGGCCTGATCTGGTCTTCACCATCCAAGAAACAAGACCCCCTTTCTCCTCCCTTTTAAATGATCATGTAGGCAGATAAGAAGCACCACCTCGATCAGACCAGATAGCCCAAGGTCATGGGTAGAGCGAACTCCCACTACAGAGATAGGACCCTGTGTCCTGCACCTGAATTAGCCCAGTTAGATTGGCTATGTTTGAGTGGCGGATGGAGGCTCTTCCTACCCCCAGGATCTTGAGGCATTCTTTAGCTTATTTGCGTTGACTTTGTGATTCACTTCTTCTCGCCCTTGGTGGTTAAGGTGACCGAGAAGTGTTCCTGTGGAAGCGGGGACGCGACAACGCACAGTTCCTGAGGAGGAGGTTTGTCCTTCTGGCGAGAGAAGGCCTCCTGAAGTACTACACCAAGGAGGAGGTAAGAGGCCAGACTGCCTGTGCTTCCTCAGGATCACTCGGCTCTCTAAGGCCTTTGTGGACAGCCCCCTGTCTTAGGGAGAACTTCAGCCCTGGCAAACATGACATTCTCCTACTTTTCCTTGGCTACCGTCAATCCAGCCCACCAACAACCACATTCTGGTCACTTGAATCACTTAGGTTGGTCCATTTCATTGTTAATTGTTCTCTGATTTTTTTTTCTTTTTGAGACAGAGTCTCACTGTGCAGACCTTACTAGTCTAGAACTTGATATGTAGTTCAGGATAGCCCTGGACTCATTGAGAGCCACCGGGGTTTGCCTCCTGGGTCCTGGGATTAAAGGAGTGTGCCACTATGCCTGGCCAAAACCAGTTATATCAAGATACATTTACAAATGTGATTTACTCATTTAAATGAGGCTGGGCAGAGTGGCTTGTGACCCTAATCCCAGCACTCAGGAAGCAGAGGCAGGTGGATATGTATGTTCGAGGCTAGCCTGGTCTACATCGTGAGTCCCAGGGCATTCAGGACTGTATAGAAAGACCCTGTCTCAAAAAACAAAACTAACTAACTAAATATTTAAAAAACAAAATAAAACAGAACTCTCCCTCACTGGCCCAGTGCCCTGGAGAACCGCTGTGGCCACAGTGACCTCCTCTTCTATTTTCTTCCTCTTGTGATGTTAGGGATTGGACCAGGATTTATGCAACCTAGACCAGCCCTTTTTGAGCTCATTCCAAGCACAGCTAGCTCAGGTTTCTTTATGGCACAGAAGCTGTTTTCTTTCTTTTTTCTTTTCTTTTTGTTTTGAGACAGAGTTTCTCTGTGTAACAGTCCTGGCTGTTCTGGAACTCACTCTGTAGACCAGGCTGGACTGGCACTCACGGAGATCCACCTGCCTCTGCTCCCAAGTGCTGGGATCAAAGGTGTGCGCCACCACCACCAGCCTGAGGCTGTTTTCTAAGCAAAAGTGATTGTTGCTGGATGTGGTGGTGCTCGCCTTTAGTCTCTGCGCCCTGGAAACAGAAGCTGGTGGATCTCTATGAGTTCCGAGACAGCCTGATCTACATATAGAGTTCCAGGCTAGCCTGATCTATATATAGAGTTCCAGGCCAGCCTGGTCTACAGAGTGAGTTCCAGGCCAGCCTAGTCTACAGAGTGATTTCTAGGACAAGCTCCAAAGCTACACAGAGAAACTCTGTCTCGGGGGGAGGGGGGAAAAAAGGGAAGGGATACAATTCTACATCTTTATGGGTAGAGCTTATGGGGCCTACTGGGAGAGAAGGAAGTGGTGAGGACATCTTTGGAGGCCAGCTACCACAGTGAACCCTGGGGCATTCCAGAATTAGAGAACAGAAAAGAAAAAGTGCTAACAAAGTGAATGGGAAGGCGCAGCTGACCGGGGGTGGGGGTGGGGTGGGGTGGGGGTGATGGCTGAGCTCTTCAGCGTGCACTTGAGGCCTTTGGTCTGTGTATTTCCTGTTGCTTTCCCGGAGGAACAGGCTGGGCTAGAAGGGCGAGCTGCTGTGCTGCGGTCTGGGACTGAGTGATAAGCCTTGGAGAAGAGTGTTAGCCCTCCGAGTGTAATGGGGACCTGCAGTTTTAAAGTCTGACAACTTGCTTTTCCAATACTTCTTTTTGAAGCGTGGTCCTAATTCGTCTTAACAGTAAGAACCCAGAGTCAGATATCGAGGGGGAAGGCTGAAAGATCCGAGAAAGCAGAGCAGCCAGCCACCAGAGACTTCTTACCTATACAAAATCTCAGAGGGAGTTGGGGATAGAGGGGGCGACAGGAGCTGTCTCTACAAATCCTCAGACTGAACAGGCTGCAGACCCTGTCTCCACCAGCCTTATATTCCTGTCTCCACCTCCCCTGTGTTGGGATCAAAGGCATCATTCTCCCAAGTGCTGGAATTAAAGGTGTGAGCCACCATGGCCTGGCTCTATTTCTTTTGTAGAGTGGTTCAATCTTTGGCCTCGAACTCCTGCCCTTCCTGCTTCCTCCTCCTAAGTGCTGGGATCAAAGGTGTGTGCCACCATTGCCTAGCTTCTATGGTTAACTGGTGGCTAGCTCTTCCCTCTGATCTCCAGGCAAGCTTTATTTGTCAGAACACAAAGGAACTATCAATCACACATCTTTTCTTCCTTTTATTTCCCTTTAAAAAATTATTTATTGCCGGGCGGTGGTAGCGCATGCCTTTAATCCCAGCACTCAGGAGGCAGAGGCAGGCGGATCTCTGTGAGTTCAAGGCCAGCCTGGTCTCCAAAGCGAGTTCCAGGAAAGGCGCAAAGCTACACAGAGAAATCCTGTCTCGAAAAAAAACCAAAAAAAAAAAATTATTTTTGAATATGGATGTTTTGTCTGCATATACATATGCATACCCAAAGACAGTACTGGATTCCATGGCATAGCTCTGTGAGTCCAAGGCCAGCCTGGACTATGAGGTGAATTCCAGGACAGCCAGGGCTACACATAGAAATCAAATCTCAAAAAAAAAAAAAAAAAAAACCACCCATAAAACAAAAAACAAAGCAAAACATAAAATAAAAACAACAACAACAAAAAACCTCAGTGAGAGAGTGAGTGAAGCCCTAGATTAGTTCCTGGTACCACAACAGAAAGGAAGAAAGAAAGAAAGAAAGGAAGGAAGGAAGGAAGGAAGGAAGGAAGGAAGGAAGGAAGGAAGGAAGGAAGGAAGGAAGGAAGGGAGCTGGGGTGTTTCTAAGTGGTAGAGCACTTGTCTAGTAAGATCAAGGTCCAGGGCTTGGTCCCTAGGACCACAAAACAAATTAAAAACTTGCATAAGACAATAAGTTGTTCCTAGATACATGCCTATGAGTCTATGTATATGTTTGTACAAGTATGGGAGAGGAAGTAGAATCGACATTAAGCTCATGACTGCCTGCCTGTGGGAAATGCAGAAGGAGAAAGCATGGAGTAAGCTTCAGAAAAAGAGATTGTCTTTATTAGTAATGGTGTGTGTGTGTATATGTGTGTGTGTGTGTGTGTGTGTGTGTGTGTGTGTGTTGTTAAGGATCAAACCCAGAGCCTCATGCATATATTGTATGCAGACTTTTCTGTTGCTCCAGCCGCTCCCCAAATAACCACATAGAGACTTAGTATTAATTATGAATGCTCGGACAATATCCTAGGCTTATTTTAACTAACTCTTACAACTTAAATTAACCCATTTCTATTCATCTATGTGCTGCCCTGACGTTGATTTACCTCATGTATGTACTTCTCATCCTGTTCACTGTGTGTCTCTTGGCGTCTCCTCACAACTCCTCAGACTCCATGCTTCTTCTTCTTCCCATCATCTGGCTCTCCTGCTCAATCTTATCCTGCCCAGCTGTAGGCCAGTCAGCTCTTTTATTAACCAATGAGAGTAATACATATGTACAGTGTACAAAGATTGTTCCACAGCAATGCATACTTTACCATTGAGCTATACCTCCATACTGGTGATGTCATATTTCTTTTTAAGTTAGTAAGAAGGTTGGGCATGATGGCATACACCTTTAATCCCAATATTCAGGAGACCAGAAGCAGATGGATCTCTGTGATTTCAATGCCATCCACAGATGCATAGTGAGAGCCTGAATGAAAAAAAAAGAGCGAATATTGGTATAGCTGTATATTTTTAATGTGTGTTCACAAATAACCTTAAATTTATAATATGCATGTTTATGTGTACTTTTTTCCCCTAGACATTCTTTCTCTGTGTAACAGTGCTGGCTGTCCTGGAACTCGATTTGTGGACCAGGCTGGCCTCGAAATCACAGAGATTCACCTGCCTCTGCTTCCCAGGTTCTGGGATTAAAGGTGTGCACCACCACCACCTGGCTATGTGTTTTTTGTTTTGTTTTGTTTTGTTTTAGTTTTTTGAGACAGAGTTTCTCTGTGAAACAGTCCTGGCTGTCCTGGAACTTGCTTTGTAGACCAGGCTGACCTTGAACTCATAGAGATTCTCCTACCTCTGCCTCCTGAGTGCTGGTATTCAAGGCATGTGCCACCACCGCCTGATGGGAAATCTTTGTGACAGCGACTGAGATGGGTTGGTGTTGAGATGGGTTAATGTTGAGATGGGTTAGTGTTGAGATGGTTAATGTTGAGATGGGTTAGTGTTGAGATGGGTTAGTATTGAGATGGGTTGGTGTTGAGATGGGTTAGTGTTGATGGATTGGTGTTGAGATGGGTTAGTGTTTAGATGGGTTAGTGTTGAGATAGGTTGGTGATGAGATGGATTAGTGTTGAGATGGGTTAGTGCTGAGATGGGTTGGTGCTGAGATGGGTTAGTGTGAGATGGGTTAGTGTTGAGATGGGTTAGTGTGAGATGGGTTAGTGTTGAAATGGGTTGGTGTTGAGATGGGTTGGTGCTGAGATGGGTTGGTGCTGAGATGGGTTGGTGCTGAGATGGGTTAGTGTTGAGATGGGTTAGTGCTGAGATGGGTTGGTGCTGAGATGGGTTGGTGTTGATGGGTTAGTGCTGAGATGGGTTGGTGTTGATGGGTTAGTGCTGAGATGGGTTAGTGTTGAGATGGGTTGGTGTTGAGATGGGTTGGTGCTGAGATGGGTTAGTATTGAGATGGGTTGGTGTTGAGATGGGTTGGTGTTGAGATGGGTTAGTGTTGAGATGGGTTGGTGTTGAGATGGGTTGCTGTTGAGATGGGTTAGTGTTGAGATGGGTTGGTGTTGATGGGTTAGTGTTGAGATGGGTTGGTGATGAGATGGGTTAGTGTTGAGATGGGTTGGTGATGAGATGTGTTGATGTTGAGATGGGTTAGTGTTGAGATGGGTTAGTGTTGAGATGGGTTAGTGCTGAGATGGGTTGGTGCTGAGATGGGTTAGTGTTGAGATGGGTTGGTGTTGAGATGGGTTAGTGTTGAGATGGGTTAGTGTTGAGATGGGTTAGTGCTGAGATGGGTTGGTGTTGAGATGGGTTGGTGATGAGATAATGGGTTAGTGTTGAGATGGGTTAGTGTTGAGATGTGTTAGTGTTGAGATGGGTTAGTGTTGAGATGGGTTAGTGCTGAGATGGGTTAGTGTTGAGAAGGGTTAGTGTTGAGATGGGTTAGTGCTGAGATGGGTTGGTGTTGAGATGGGTTGGTGATGAGATGATGGGTTAGTGTTGAGATGGGTTAGTGTTGAGATAGGTTGGTGTTGAGATGATGGGTTAGTGTGGAGATGGGTTGGTGCTGAGATGGGTTGGTGTTGAGATGATGGGTTAGTGTTGAGATGGGTTAGTGTTGAGATAGGTTGGTGTTGAGATGATGGGTTAGTGTTGAGATGGG